CTCTAACAATTTTTGCACACAGCAGCAGCATTTCATACTCATTTGATTATTTGATTACAGATTATTTTTATGTTAACCCATTTTATTGAGCATGTTCCACTTTGAGAACTGTTGATCTACAGCAGCTTAGAAATACTTTATCAATAAACATAAATTCCTTTGTGTCCTCTTTTTTATCCTCTTGAAGTCACGTAGTTAAAATGCACTGTGTAGCCTTGATAATTATACAGTACTCCATTCATTGAACGAAGAAACATGTAACTGAGCAGGAAGATATTTTCAGACCCTCCGTCAGTTTGCTTTAATTGTGAGGAAGAGCCAGGTCGTATTTGGTTGGCTACTGGAATAGCTTTCTCTCCAGTGGCCGATTCCTATATCTCAGGCAGGGAAGGCACCCAGAGGAGGACCTCTGATATTGATCTTAGGGAATGGTTGGTAATAGCTAGGGGGAAAAACATTTGTTAGAACTTTATGGTAATACCAACAACATGAATTGGAACTGGAAAAGAACCTTATAAAACTTGCAAAATATACTCTCGTTATCCAAGTATATTCAACGCTCTGATTGCATCATTTTTGGATCAAATAATTTAGGCTGTTTTCAAGGGCAGCTGTATATATAGCATGTAGCATTAACCTAATGAAACGTTTATCAGGATATGGATTACTGCAACGAGACCTATTCACACAGAGCACTACAGCCTAAAATGTGTATTATTCTACAAAGGATGTGTGTGTATAATGATAAAAATAGAATTAGAAGCTATAAACCTGATCCTCCCAAAACAAGAATACAGTAATAGCATTTCTGTCTTGCCTAGATTGAGCTTCAGTTTCTGGCTTTTATCCAAACCCTCAGTGCAGTCAAGTGCTGGCTGAGCACTTTCAACTCCTTACCTGGAATTCTTGAGAAAAGAGTAAAAACATCTGCGTGCAGATGACACATTACTCCACATCTCCAAATGATGTTCCCTATGTTCCTTTGTTCCCTGAGGGTGTCCTATAACGTGAGAACCTTGGAGAATTCTCCCCCATTGTGAATGTCAATAGGTTGAGTAGAAATCTTCCAGCACCACTATTGGAGCTAGACATGTTAACCATTACAAAGCAGTTTATCCTGACCTATGTAAAGAATTTTCTCAGAAGGATATCTGAAAGCTCCAGAGAACTCTAAGAGAATGGACAGGGTGCATCTCACTTATCTCTTTCCTAAGAAAGATAATCACAACAGAACAGTATAACAGATTTGGAAGGGACTTGGAAGTCTTCTAGTCCAACCCCCTGCTTAAGCAGGAGACACTATACCATTTCATACAAATGGCTGTTAAATCTCTTCTTAAAAACCTCCAGCGATAGAGCACCCCCAACTTCTGAAGACAAATCTGGTTAATTGTTCTAACTGGCAGGAAATTTCTCCTTATTTCTCCTTGAATAGTTTCCATCTATTGCTTCTTGTCCTGCCTTCAAGAGCTTTGGAGAATAGGTTGACCTTCTTCTTTGTGGCAGCTCCTTCGATATTGGAATACTGCTATCATGTCACCCCTAGTCCTTCTTTTCATTAAACTAGACATACCCAATTCCGGCAACCGTTCTTTATATGTTTTAGCCTCCAGTCTCCTAATCATCTTTGTTGCTCTTCTCTGCACTCTTTTTGAGAGTCTTAATATTGTGGTGACCAAAACTAGATGCAGTGTTCCAAGTGTGGTCTTACCAAGGCCTTATAAAATGGTAGTAGCACTTCATGTGATCTTGATTCTATCTCTCTGTTAATGTAGCCTAGGACTGGGTTGGCTTTTATGCAGCTGCAGCATACTGCTGGCTCATATTTAATTGGTTGTCCATTAGCGCTCCTAATTCTCTTTCATAGTTACTGCTAATGTGCCAGATACCTGCACATTTGGTTTTTCTTACCTAAAACCTTGCTTTTCTCACTACTGAATTTTATTTTGTTAGATAGGGCCCAGTCTTCAAGTCTGTCGAGAATCTTCTAGATCTTGAGCCTATCTTCTGTCTATCCCTTGCCAGTTTGGTGTTGTCTGCAAATTTGATGAGTTCCCCTTCTATTCCCTCATCTAAATTGTTTATGAAGATATTGAAGAGTACTGGGCCTAAGACAGAATCTTGAGATACCCCACTGCTTACTTCCCTCTATATAGATGTAGTTCCATTGAGGACTACAAGTTGAGTACAATTTATTAGTCAGTTACGAATCCATCTGGTGGTGATGCTGTCTATCCTACATTTTACTAGCTTATTAAGCAGTAGATTATGGTCTGCTTTATCAAATGTCCTACTGAAGTGCAAGTAAATTATATCTACAGCATTTCACTGGTCCACTAATTTAGTTACTTTTTTGAAGATTGCAATAAGATTTGACTGGCATGATCTGTTTTTGTCAAAGTGACACTGGCTTCTGGTTATAACTTTGCCTGCCTCTAGGTGTTCACAGATTCGTTGCTTGATTATCTTTTCCAGGATCTTCTCAGGTATTGATGTCAGGCTGATAGGTCTGTAATTTTATGGATCTATTTTTTTTCCTTTTCCAATCCTCTGGTAGTTCCCTAGGGCCCTAGGATCTTTGAAAAATGTGGTTCAGTAGTTCTGAGATCACATCTGTCAGTCCCTTCAGAACCCTGGGATGTAATCCATCTGGACCTGGTGATTTGAACTCATCTAGAGTGGATAAGTGTTTTCTTACCATTTTCTTGCCTACTTTGACTTGCATTCTTAATCTATCTTTTACGGTATTGTTTTTGATATATAGAACTGTTTTTTTCTGGGCCACTGGGATAGTTTCAACCAGATCTAAAAATTATAAAAGTGAATCTAAAACTGCTTAAAATGGATCTAAAAATTTTAATTGATTAAACAATATCTGAAAAAATACCTATAAAAGAGTGAGAATCAATGTACAACGTCAGTGACAGTTTAACCAGTTCTGTTAAAAGACATTACCTTCTGTTCACTACTTGCTTATGCTTAAAATGCCAGTAAAGGGTCAGAGTTTCAAATAAAGTAAAAAGTGCCTTTGGGGCATTGCACATCCTTAATGTGTATTTTGACTATTATTTATTCCCATGGATTAATATTGTTTGTCTATAGTGAATCATTTGTTCAGAACTACAGAAACTGCAAAGAAAAAAAATGCTTAGAAGGTTTCTGAGTACTGATGCTGATCTGTCCAAACCAGAGGTCTAATAAGCTAAATTCCATGAAAATCATATGTACATGCATATGTTTACTGCCTTTGCAAGTCCACTGGAGTTGGGTGGTCAATAAATTTAAACAAATAATGAAAATAATAATGATATGATAACAACAACAACAACAACAACAATAGGTCCTTGGTTAGAACTTGAACTGTTAAGTTTTTACCAGTTCCAGACTGAATCAAATTAAAGATTAAATATTAAATAATGACAAAATACATAAAGCGAGTCCAGAAAATCTTGAGATCAAAGCTGAGTGGAGGAAATATCATAAAGGCAATTAACACCTGGGCAGGGCCTATAATACCATACTCAGCTGGAATAATTGTTTGGATAACTTGGATCGAAAGACAAGAAAACTAATGATAATGCACCATGCTCTGCACCCAAAAAATGATATTGATCTGTTGTACTTGCCTAGATCTCAGGGTGGCAGAGGACTCGTATATGTGAAACAAACTGTGGAAGAGGATAAATATGGCTTAAAAGACTACATTAAAAAAAAAAGCAAAAGAGGCTTTGCTAAAGGAGGTGAATAAGTGAAACCTCTTGAAAACAATGAGATTGAAAGCAGAATATTGAAAAGAAACAATTGAGCATCGAGCTTCTAACTGGAAAAAGAAGCCTATGCACAGTCAATACCTGAAGGCCATTGAAAGAAAGGTAGATACAAAGCTAACATGGGGCTGGTTGAGATCAGGGATGCTGAAGAAAGAAACTGAAGGCTTCATTTTGGCTGCTTAAGAACAAGCCCTGCAGACCAATTCCATGAAAGCAAAAATTCAACATGTCAGTAACAACAGCAAATGTCACTTATGCAACGAGAAAGATAAGACAGTGGATCACCTTATCAGTGGCTGCAGCAAAATCTCACAGACTGGTTATCAACAAACGTCATAATCGAGTTGCCAAAATCATACATTGGAAGCTTTGCCAGAAGTTTGGGTTCGAATACAGTAAAAATTACTGGGAACACGAAATTGACAAAAGTTCTTGAAAATGAACAGGTCAAGATCTTGTGGGACTTTCGGATCCAAACAGACAGACAACAGCATGCCTGACATCACTATTGTGGAAAAGAAAAAAGTCTGGTTCATTGATGTTGCAATACTAGGTGATGCACAAATTGAAGAAAAACAGCTAGAAAAATAACAAAATACTATGATCTGCAAATTGAAGTTGAGCGAGTGTGGAGGAATAATAATAATAGGAGCTCTTGTAGCAATACCCAAAGGGCTGCCTGAATATCCTGAATATCCTGACTGCAAAAAACCATTCTACTCGGAACTGCCTATATACTCAGAAGTTACCTTAACAGCTCTTAGGTCCTTGGTTAGGAGTTGAACTGTTAAATTTTTCCCAGTCCCAGACTGTGAATCAAATTGAAGATTAAATCTTAAATTATAATATTACTTATAGAGGCCTTAGGAATGAAGAATGCCAAAACACATTTGACTTACTTAGGATTTTGCTGCTATGTTGAGGTGCTACCAATTCTCCAGTCTCAAAAATTATCACTTACAAAATGTGTGCAAGGACTTATGCAGTAGATATGTAAAAACAAATATAAGATAGCCATGGCAATGAGAATGTGGCATTGCAAGTTCAATTTACCTTTGCACAGGAAGTGATTATAATAACTTGCAGGTTCAGGAGAGAATTATGTCAGATGTCCTTGTTCAGACAGCAATCGTTACATCGGGACAACCACTTTCAATGGCTTATGGAATGTTGGTATGAAAGCAGATTTTGCTTTCAGCATTAACAAGACTTTTGTAATCTCCTCCGCAGGTGAGAAGCCTTACAAGTGTTCATGGGAAGGGTGTGAGTGGCGTTTTGCACGAAGTGATGAACTCACACGGCACTACAGGAAGCACACGGGAGCAAAGCCCTTCAAGTGCAGCCATTGTGACAGGTAACAGTTACAATTTTCTCTCACATTATATCCCACTTCTTAATTCAAGAAGTGCTCTCAAAGCAATTAAGATATGATGATGATTGGTCCCACAGTCAGACAGACGATTAGGCTGGATTTGGCATTTTTATCCACCTATCGAGTCCTGGGAACTGGGAAAGGCAGATGTTGTTTGGTAGTGTTAAAGATATTGTGGCAGAATATAAGCTGATCCAAGAAAAGCTGCCTTTTGCAATTGACTGATGGTAAATTGGTCAATCCTGATGGTGCTCCAGGTGTTTTAGCATTGCACCCACAGTACCTATTACCATTAGTACTATCTTTGCTTTCTTTTGCCACAGTTTTTCTATTTCTATTTGCAGGTCTTTGGTTTTATTTTCTCCAGTTATTTCTCTTTTATTGTGCTGCCTCTGTCTTTTGATGTTATCATTATTTAAATACAGCACCTGTCTTATTTTTGTGAAAATGCATTGACTTTGTCTTTCAAATGTATAGTTTTGTATACATTTGTACTTTCATGACTTCTCTACACAGATTCTAAAGAAAAGATAATATATTCTGCAACTCCTGGATTCACAGCTACTGCTCAAAGAGCAGGTGGCAGCTATGCCCAGGGGACCTTTGCATCGGTTCATCTGGGGCACCAGTTGCACCCTTTCTTCAATTGGGAGGTCCTTCAGTCTGTAACTCATACTCTGATCACCTCACAACTGGTTATTGCAATGCACCATACATGGAGCAGCCTGGAAGCTATAGCTGATTTAAAATTCAGTAGCGTAAACAGTAATAGGCATCTGTCAACATGCCCATGAATCCCCCAATACTCTGCTGTATTGGTTGTCATTCAGCCTCTAGGTCTAATTAAGGGTGCTGTTTATTACCTACAAAGCTGTGTATGGCATAGGGCCTGGAATCTCAGGGCCAGTTTATCTCCTATCCTTTCTGCCTGTGAGGTACATTCTCCCAGAGTGGGTGAGTCTAGGTCTTCACTATTAAATGTTGTCATCTTGTGGAACTAAGGAAGAATGCCCTCTTCATCATTGCCTCCACCCTCTGCAACAGCATTCCCCCAGAGATAAGGATTACGCTATCTCTCCTGGGGTTCTGGAAAGCACATAAAACCTGGCTCGATCCCAGGCTTGGGATGGGTGCATTATTGTTTGTTGGGCTAGGCAGGGGGATTCTTTTGTTTTTTATTTGTGTTGTTTTTGGATCATTTTACTTTAGGCTGTTTGTGTGGTTTTAGGTTTTATCTGTTTATATGGATTGGAGAGGGGGTGTTGTATACCACCCAGAATCCCTTAGAGTTCAACATAAATAGCTAGTTTTCTTGGTGAAATCTCTTGTTTTTATAGGCATCATAGCAGTGGTTTTCAACCTTTTCTTCATTACAGACCCCCTTTAAATACCTTTTGTGGTCACTGGCCATGGCCCCATACCCCAAAGACCTAAATCAAGATTTAAATCATAGCATTTCTTCAAGGCTTCAGGGACCCCAATGACTACCTCATGACCGCCCAGGTTGAGAACAACCTCACTATAGGATTAGCAACAGGATTAAAACATTCCTTTGCCTGTCCCATTCATACCCTACAATATATAGGGAAGGCATTAACATTACCAGAATGCATATGGTGAGAAAAATTAAACACTTGCCATATAGCTGGCTTCTACTATGAGACACCAGTCTGCCAAAGTATTGCAGTCCTTCTCTGAAGCAGTAGAGCAGGGGTGCCAAACTGCCGGCCCACGGGCCGGTTTCATCATACCGGAGCCGTGCCCACCCCATTGCCGGCAATGGCGAAAAAGCTATTGCCAGCTTTTGACATGCCGGCGAGTTTGACATGCCTGCAGTAGAGTGTGTAGGAAGAGCCAAATGTGGAGAATATGCTACTCTATTTATCCGTATAAATCCTTTGTTATAAAAATTAGTTCAAGCATAGCTTGATAGATATGTTTATTATAACGTATAAGATGAGACAGAAAGGAGGATAGGAAAAAATTTGAAATAGGAAGAATTTAAAATATATAGAATGTACACTTCTGGCAGCAGAATGTGAACTGCATATAGTTCACATTCTGAACAAATATCTTTTGGCATTTGTCTCAAAATTATATAATGCCAAATTTTCCGAACAAGCAACTTTATTTATTTATTATTTATTTATTTATTTGCTTGTTTATTTGTTTATTCATTCATTCATTTATCCTATTTCTAAACCTCCCATTTCCCTCAGGTAGCAATAGCACTTAGACTTATATACCGCTTCACAGTGCTTTACAGCCCTCTCCAAGAGGCTTACAGAGTCAGCATATTGCCCCCAACAATCTGGGTCCTCATTTTCCTGACCTCAGAAGGATGGAAGGTTGAGTCAATTTTGAGCTGTTGAAACTCGAACTGCCAAACTGCTGGCAGCCGGCAGTCAGCAGTATTAACCTGCAGTACTGCATTCTAACCACTGCGCCACCACGGCTCATATACAAATATACAACTGTTTTAATAAAATAGGGAATATGTAAAAATGTATATTTATGGAAAAGATCTATTAAATGAAGAACAACTACTTGTATGATATGTATTAGGAAAAGGGTATTGAAAAAACGCAGATATTGGGGGAAATATTCAGAGAAATCCTTATAGTATTTATAGAATGGATGTGCAAACAAGATGGAATGAATTTAAGCAAGAATAGCGCTATCCAGGGATGTTGCATACTTCTCTATCAGATTCTACCCCCTCCCCCCGCCATCTTTACAAATTTCCTTAATTATCTGAAAAGAAAAACACAAATAGCAAAACAAAATGCTAGCTTCCTGAGAGTGACCTATGACTAGAGGTGATGGTTAAAACAAACTTCCACAATACTGGGAAATGGATGTTTTTATTCCTGTGTGTCTCTATGAATACTGCCTAATGTCAGCCATTTTATATTCATCTAATAAGGTTCTTATGAAACATTTATAACATGCTTTCAAAATATGTCCATTAGTCCCAAAGATTGCCTACTTTTTCGCTAAAGATTGCAAAAGTGAAAAACTGGGGGAAAACGTATTAACAAATTTGTTGACCCCTAATGAAAGATGAAGCCAAATTGAAAACCAGTTTTAAAGTAAATAATCAGCCTCCAAATCAGATACATAAAATGGCAAATGTTTTGGTTTTATTTTTATCAAAGGCACTGAAAGAAATAAAAAGCCATATTTAAAATTGTTGCATCTTGAAATGTTAAGAATTCAAATTATAGGTCATCCTTATTATACACCTCTGCCTTGCAGTTGCATATTATCAAACCATGCATAGTAAAAATTTAAAAAATTCTACACCTGTGCAAAAGTCCATCTGTCATTGTAGTCAAAAACCACAGATCCAATGAGAATCTTTTCTGCAAATACTGACATCTTGTTTCAGTAGAGCAAGTGTGGATATGCAAAACTTCAAAGGACTAAATAACAACTGCTGACTATAAAGTTAAAACCATAAAAATAAAATTATGAGTAAGTTAATATGGATGCAGATTTTGATCAAAACAGTAATAGGAAATGCTGCAATAAATAAAAGGAAGAGTGTAAAATGTTCCTGATTTAACAATTAACTCCAGTATGAAGTATGAAGCAAAACTAGAAAGAAAAAATAATAAAATACAAAAGCAAAACCCCAAAACTGTTTTCATTACCTGAAGATAATTATGATTTTTTCTTCATGTAAGAAAAAATGTAGCTAATATTGAAGTAATCTGACACACACACACACACACACACATTTTCTCTTGGTCTGTTTATGAGAGCAGTAAAGCAGAGATACAGGGTGACTTTGAGCCAGTCACTTCTTCACAGCTCAACCTATTTCGTAGGGTTATTTCATATAGGAAAAAAGAGGTAAGAAAGCTATATAATAGCTGAATAAAAGGCAGGATGTAAATCTCTCATATTAATATTATATGAATATACAACTGTATACTTATTATTTAGCTTTATGAACTCACATATCTGGGTAAGAGGTTATACAAGCAGCTGTTAAAGTCCTTGATATTTTTGAAATCTGATTTAGAAATCTAAAATTGAAAACTTACTTCATTGTTTACTTTAGTTATCTTGGCATATTGCTGATAAAATAAAACCTTTAATAGATTTTGGGGTAATAAAACATAATAGGTCTGTCTTTGCTAAACAAGCTGTAGACTACTTAACTGGAAATACGGACTATGCCAGTCTAAAACTAAGGTCCTATTGAGGGACTAATCAAATAATATAGCTACATCTGGCTTTGACATGCTTTAAAATCCTATTTATAAAAGTAGCTTTCTGGGCAGGTTTTAGAAAATTACCCATCCTTTTTTCATGCAGCCTCAAGTCCATTGCTATAATAAGAAAATGTTTATAATACAATCAAAGCTCTATTTCCCTCCTAAGCACATGAGATTGCCAAAACCCATGCACGCAGAAGATGCATTCGAAAGAACCAGTCTCCTGTTTCTTAACAGGAAAGAAATCTGATCTTTTTTCACATCTCTCTTCTGAGGTTTTTTGCATTACCAATTAATTGTCCTCCTCCTGCTATCTGCTTGCACTGCCTTCCTTTGCTTTTTATCTCTGGATCCTTGACTGTACTTAGTTTTCCCATAACCCCAAAGTTTTGCTTAATTTGGTTAACTAAAGAAATATTTTTTTTCTGTGCTTTAGGACAATTGCCATTTCATTGATGTTGGTGGAAATAATACTAACTTGAAACAGCCAGGAAATTGTATTCTTGGAGTGGAGCTTTCTTGTTAATCTTTATTCTTAAGAGGAAACCAGAATTCGATTCATTCCAACCTTTTCATTGCTATAATCAATCCATGCCATATTACTTTATCACAGTGTTACAGTAATTGATCTGTTGATAATACTGATATCTGTATTCCACAGTAACTAGTATGGAAGAACCCCGCTAATTCTGCATGCCCAGGAAGATTCCATCTGTATGATTAAACAAGAATATTTTCTGTAATGTGAATATTTAT